TATCAGACTCAACTTGGATAAAAACTGAGTTAGGTTGTGTTTCGCTTTGCTAGCTTGTTGAGACTTCTACTTGATTACTCTACGTTTCCCTAGTTGAGACTTGTACTTGATTATTTCTCTAACTCAAATTATTCTGGTAAAACATTTTGGTACAACACTATGGAAGCCTCAATTTCCTGCCAAATCATATCTATCTTGGCGAGGAAAAACATCTCCAACAGTGTTTCAATTGCAGAATTGTAGAGGTAGTGCTAGGAAAACTTTTGTAACAGTGAATTATTTGCTTCTATTTTTTATGATGTGGCATAAGAGAGATAAAAATTTTAGAACTCTTTCTACAGCTCAAGCCCTGTTACAGACTGAGTCACTATTTTTACTCTTATTTATTTTTACTTTTTAATTAAAAATTTGGAAAGAGACGTAACTGCACGAGAATTTTTTTACAAAAAATTTTAATTTGTTGCGTAATTGTTGTGTTTAGACATTTACCATTGGAGAGTCCATTAAGTCCACCAGGAGAGAAAGACTTCTTTTTACTTGCCAGATAGATTACAATTCACTGGGTTCATTGAGATGCTCTAAGTGAGCTGCAATCTGTCTAAATGGCTCCGAACTTTCTCTCTAACTGCTCTCTCTCTCTAGTTTATGCTCCCTCATAATTCTTCTTTTTTCTCTTTGCTTCTTCTTTTCTCCTTGTCCCTCATTTTTCTGGTCACCCTTCTCTGGTCTCCTCCCGTCGATCGTCGTCTCTTTTCTAGATTCAGTTTTTACCTTTTTTTTTCCTTTTTTTTCCTTTCTTTATTTTTTGCATGCTTTTTCCTCCCTCGTCATGTCATCTCCGGCTCTACTGACGACCCGCCCTGTCTCCCCGGCAACTGCTTTCTCCAGTCCGTCAGACACAAGCCTCGCAACAGTGTCGACCACCTCAGTCGTCCTCGGCCCCGAAGCTGTCCTCTTCGAGCTAGCAGTCTTAGCATCTTTTCCCCCCGCTCAGAGCATGCGATGCTAGCCCCTGCCGTCCCTGGTCCAAGAGTTTCGGCCATTACCATCCATCGTATCTCGCGGAGAGGTTAGCCCCCGCAACCGCCATCTCTTCTGGCTCTATTCCTGGAGCTCGACGAGCCTCCTGTTTCGTCGGGCCGTCAACACTCCACCCCACTTTCTCCGGAAAGACTTCATCCACTCGGAAGGATCTCGACCAACCCTCTTCCTATCGGTCTGCAGTAATCAATGAGAGGTTTTGACTAGTCTGGTTAAACAACCGCAATCTCTATGTTACGGCTCAGCCAAAACATATCTTTCCACTCCAACCACTTGCAAACAGGCCACTTGCTAGGGCCTGGTAGGGTGGAGAATGACGTTGCCAAACGTCCACCAAGTCTTCAAATTTCATATCCCCCACTGAAGGCCAACTCTTTTGGCCTCCCTATTGTCCCTCAGGTAACTTCAAAGCCCTCCTCTCCCCCTCTTCCTTTTTCTTTTAGGTCCTTTGCCTCTTTGGGCCTCCCTCTTGAGACCACCATCTCCAAGCCCATTTCAAATCATCTCTCTTAACCCCACCCCGTTCACTCTACCTTACCCTCTCGCCCAAACCAAGCCAAAAAGCGGACCCAAACACATCCCATCACCCACCTCACCACAGCCCAACCACTCAGCCCAAACACAACCCAACTCTACAAACCCAAATCATCAACCCACTAACCCAACCATACTCAAACACAACCCCCCCAGCCCACTCTGCCCTCACCCTCTTAGATGCTCCACCCCCTCCGGCCTCCTCCTCTGTGGCTGCCCTCTTGCCACCAGTCAGCGTCACCATCTCGCCGGCAACCGGCAGCCTCAGCATCGGCGTCGACCCTCTTCCACCCTCTGGCACCCCCATTCGAACAATACTCTTGGTCGGGGGCCCATTTTTTAGCCGGGTAACAACGCCGACGGGATCACTCTTCCGATGATGTTCGGTCTATCCTCTGGTGCCGGTTTCGGTAGAACTCATCCATCCAGAGCATCTTCTAAGGCGGACGGTCTTATCAACCTCGGGCATAGTTCTCCATCGAACTCCGATCTTCTAGTTTCTGGCTCCTCAGCCCTGCTCCCCATAGCCCCGCAGTCCGGACAGCCACCTACGGGTCCCACCCCTCTACCACCATCGTCCCCTAGGGCTACCTCGACCTCGCTTTCAATAAATCTGGCTTTTCCCACCGTCGGCCTCCGATCCTTCTAGGATGCAATCATCGACAATCCTGCCGTCACGTCAAACCGCCGGAGGCTACCATTTGGATCATTTTGGGACATACAACGGGGGACTATCACGCGCTCCGAGGAGGGTCGATTGGAAATCTGATTGATGTTGATGACGCTACGACCAATAGCTCAAAGCTCTCCGTTGCACAGGTGTGCGTTTACGCAAAACTTGTTGGGGTATACAGTAAAGCAAGCAAACTTTTATGTGAGCTTTTGGATTGTATTTATTCGATTTCCCATTTGAGTGAAATAAATGTCTTCACATTGTTGCATTCTTTATGATTGCTTGTATGCTAAATGT